TCTTCAGATGTACAAATTCATTAAAGTAAAACGTCTTCAGATGTACAAATTTATTAAGGTACAACCTCTTCAGATGTACAAATTCATTAAAGTGCAACCTCTTCAAGAGTACAAATTTATTGATGTAAAACCTCTTCAGATGTACAAATTTATTAAGGTGCAACCTCTTCAGATGTACAAATTTTTTAACCTGCATGTTCAAAATCATCAATGAGCTCGCAGTTGTTGTATTTCGTTTATTATGAAATTCATTTTGGTATTTTGTATCTATCAAAAATTGCTCAGCATGTGTGACTCTTTTTGAATAAAGTTAAAATGTCCTTTGTGTCTATTTTTAATATTACCATTGAACATGGATCTGGATCATTCATTTTCATGGCAACTCTATCCAATCGTAATCAAACGCCGTAAAAACATACAATAATATTTCAAATTTCAATATTCGTATCTGGGTCAAAAAAATAATAAAAAAATATTCACAGCATGTCCTTAAAGATATCCTTTGAAATATTAATCATTATAACAAATGTAAACAAATATGTGAAATATATTGTAATCTAGAATATTTAATATTGAGTGATTTATGTAAATTTTAAAGAAATATTTTCCTTTTCTAGCTATTGATATGATCGGTAGGGTTGATATTTATTAGAAAATAAAATAAACACTATAGAGATTTTCTATAATAAATTAAGTGTGAGATATGGCTGATAATAGGATGATTTGTGGTAAATTTAATAACGGGATTTGTTTCAATGATTTACAGTATTTGTAGTGTAAGTGTGAAACATGAAAAGCAAACCTGACCTACATTTATAAAGTGAATCAGTGATAAGTCGAAAGATTTTTTTTTCTCAAAAATGTTATATACATAGGTCGATTATTAGAAATATACTTCTTTAGTACTTTAGTACGGTACTTAGGCCTATATTGTACAATAACAAATATGTTAAAATAGCGCTCAATACATCAATTGTAGAGTAATAATTCATTAAACATGGTAATTTTGTAACACGCTTAGAAGCGCTTTTCACTAATTACTTAGTTTACTTCAAATATCGTCATATGTAAAGATTCTATTCTTTAGTCTTGACACCTGGAAAGTCCATCTGATGAATATATACTCTTATTGACTAAGTTTGGCAATTTTAAGTTTACGTCCGTTCTAAGATGTAGTATTCCTTTAAAAAGATTTTACAGTATTTGCCCTGGACGCTGTCTAGTCGTCAAAGAATATTGAAGGTTTTCCTATTGTCGTCTGAATATTAACTTCACAAGTCACTATTTAAACACTGAGTTCTGCTTCAAATATTGAACACCACTGCAGACCATATTTCATTATTTCTTTATTTTATTAATAATGTAATATCAACAATATTGTGGTTTTGGGGTTTTTTTTTGCTAGAAGACGCTTTTAAGGGTTTTGGAATTTTTTTAACTTGGGATCATCTCAAAAAAGCATCATTCCTTCAGTTGTGTTTTTTTTTATTCTAAATTTTCGTTTTGTTTTATTGGTTAATTAAAAAATATATATATATTTATGAAACGAAACATTTTTGAAATAAAGAATGATTTAAAGAAACCAAACGACTTAAGTAGAGGCTTGTGGTTGGTGAACATCCCTATTCTGTCCCAAAATTGATAATGAAAAAATTATTCGCTCTTGGGGTAAATAAAATGTGGAAGCAAATTGAAAATTCTGAAAGATTTGTAGCTGTTTATATAAATTATGCATTCAACGAAAATGGGTTATAAAAGGAAGAATAGTACACACCATATACGATTATAAGTCTAGTAAAAGTTTCAAGTGTTGTTGAATGGTGTTCTTGTAGATTATGACACTAAAATTCGTTATTTTAACCCCTTGAGTACTATACTTAGAAAGATAGAAGGAATACCTAACGTTCTAACCTTCTCTTTCTTTCACAAATTCTCTACATCATGAAAGCTGTTACTGACATTTAAACTGAAACCAAGAGTGTAAAATTTCTAATCTTTCTACCGTGTCTAGTCGTTCTGCTAAATTACACTGGAAATTTTTGACTTGTCGAATACATTTCAATAAATTTATAAAGCTTTTACTTTAGGTTTTAATGCATATTTATAACTAAAAATGAATTAAGCTAATACTATTATCATGTGCTTCAACTTTCTTTTTTTTTGTACCAAAAACGGACCACTAAATCAAAGATTTTGAGCATGGAAAATCGCGAAAATATTCCAAAAAATGAGAAAAAAAGCACTGATTTTCAAACTCAGGTTGGATTGAGTATTGAACCATTCTGTAGACAAAGGAATTGATACCTTGATAAAAATAGTGATTCCTGGAAGTATATTAGTATAAAATTGGTTTAAAAATCTAGAAATAATGAGTTGTTTATGAACCTACATCAACACAAGTAGAATATCAAGATTATTTTTCTACTGATACCTGTCAATACGTAGTCTATATCTCTCTATACAGTCTTTAGTCTTATAATCGATAGTCGTCTATTGGAAAAAATAATGAAGCGAAACGAATAAACAATATATATTTTGATAAGCAATGTGGATCATGTCCATATTAGTTTAGACTTTAATAAGGCAAAGTAAATGTTCATTTTTTATACCTTTCATCTCCTACGATCGAAGCCGGACAATAAACTTTGACCGATGCCTTCAAAGTATATCCCTGTGGCTAAAATATGAAGTATAGCGTCGGTCGCTCTTCAAAATAAAGCAATCTTCACTAGCATTATTCTCCGGAAAATATGAAATTTCCTTTTCAAAATATAACTGTCCAAATATATATTATAATATAAAAATACAAATTTACTTAACCTAAATATTGGCCAGTGTTGTATGAAATTTTGTCCATGTCCTCTTGGGTTATTTTCTTTATAAAAATATCATCTATTTTTGTATTTCCAATAAAAGCTTTAGGCAGATTCATATACGTATTAGTTACGTGTATTCTTCATAATAGGAGTTTTCTTCCAAATTACATTTTTTTCAGTTTTTTGAACAACTGTATAGTACCAATCTAAGTATTTTATTTTAATCATGGAAGATATTCAAGTCGAATAAGTGTCGAATTTTTAATCTTTTGTTTGCAATGGATGTTAAATAACTCATGTAGTAAAATGGAGATTTAATTTTCAAAACCAGATTAAAATTCAGGATATTTTGTTTTTCTAAATTTTAAATTTCAATCATTGCTAATGAACAGGGGTAAAAAGTAAATTTTGACATCAAAGGCGACCAAGTTAAAATGAGAAAAAAATTAACTCTATAAGAGCAATTATTAAACAATTGAAAAACAGTCAAAACCCTGTCAACAATGAGATTATTTCTAGAAAAGCCAACAAGAGGGTTAAGGAAGATGGATTAACGTTTGTAAAGCAGAGTTTATCTACATGGATTAACGTGTTAATCCACTCTCAATTTTCAAACGTTACACAATCAAGTGTAAACAAGGCGAAAACTAACTCAAAACAAGTGAGTTGGAAAAATTCAAAATAAGACAAAAGTTAAACAATTTCTATTTTTTTTATTTTTACTCTTCACTTTTTTTCAATTCATAATTTCACAGCACTTTAAAATGATTTGATTTCACATTGATAATAATTTTATATTGAAAAGTGAACACAATGAAAATATTGTGAAAGAATTGGATCTAAAAATGATAAAAACTAGGATTTCTTGTAATAATTAATAATAATATTTACAACAATATAATAATCAAAAACAAAAACAATCAGAAAACAATTGCACTAGAATCATTCATCGTCATCATCATCATTATAATAATTTAATATAAAAAATTTGAAAATATTCAGAATTTTTTACACACATTTAAGTTGAGATATGGTTCCTTTAATTAATATATAAATTTTCAAATTATCTAAAAAATTTTACCAACATTTTTCAATATTTCAACCATATCTTTGCTAATTCAAGCTTATAATAAATAGTTTGAACAAAAATAATGTTACTCACATACAATGTAAAGAATTTCCTATTATAGCCTAGCTAAGTTTGTACAACTAGACGAACCTTGTTTCACACACAATATTATAAAGGGAATGTAAGACATTATCAGTTCTTTCATTCAGTCCTATTGTAGCATACTTATGTCCATACGCAATTTCCGCAATAAGTTTGACCACTGCCCATTCTGGGGTTCCACCAGAGTTCACTCACCGATAACGTCGCTATTTCGTTCACTTTTTGAGATCATTGAAATCTGTTCACAATTTGTCATGTTCGCATCAGCGAGGCCATGTTGGTATTGAACAGGCCTGAACGTATTGACGATATTTTTCAATGTCCAAAGGTGAAAGTCCCGAAACACCCAAAGGTGAGGTAAAAGCACTAGAACCCGCTCTGGGAAAGTCAACTAGACCGGGACGTAGAGCACCCAACGACGACGGAAGCCCTAAACTAGGTAACACAGTAGCTAATGATGGTCTAAATGGGGTTGGTAATGATGATGTTGTTGGTGCTGTTGTTGATGGTGGTAATGATGTTGTTGATGTCGTTTTAGTAGAACTACCAGAACTAGATGATGTATTGCCTATTAAACTATCAATAAAAAATCCTGGTTTAGGTTGAGGGGAATTGGATTTGACTTTCTCTTTCTTTTCTTGTTGTTGTTGCTGTTGTTGTTGTTGTTGTTGTTGTTGCTGTTGTTGCTGTTGTTGCTGTTGTTGTTGTTGCTGTTGTAGCACAACTTTTTCCAATGTTTGTAATTGACTGTTGATGTAATTGGTTGTATTAATGCCCTGGAAATTGGTTTGAGGTAAACCATGTAGACTAGGATGAGAGGCGGCCTGAGCTGTTCGGTTGTAATCTCCATGTAAGAAGGGAAAATGGTGACTAAAGGGTGACATATAAGGGTATGGCATCATACCTGTACCACCACCAAAAGATAACTGTGGATTATGAGCTGTTAACAAACCATGGTGATGTAAATAAGAATCTGCTGGTGACATGAAAGCCCCATGTGGCATATCAAGATGTCGCTTATATCTCTTACGTCTTCTTAAAAAACTACCATTATCAAACATATCTTCACTGCGGGGGTCCAAACTCCAATAATTACCTTTTCCAGGATTTCCTGGTTCTCGTGGAATTTTGATAAAACAGTCATTTAGAGACAGATTGTGACGTATACTATTCTGCCATGCTGGAAATTTTTCACGGTAATATGGAAATCTGGTCATAATAAATTCACAAATACCTGATAAAGTTAATCTTTTCCTTGGCGATTGTAAAATTGACATGGTTATTAAAGCGATATATGAATATGGCGGTTTCACTATGTTATGTTTTTTCTTCATTCCGTCAGGGTCCTGTCCGTCACATTTCACCGGAGAGTCATTATTAGCACTGGAATCCAGAGATTTGTCCTTGTCCGTCACTTCTCCATCACTACCTCCATTCGGAGAGGGGATCGGAGACGGTGGTGGGGAATCCACATCCAAAGGTTCATCATCACTGCAATCATCAAATGAAGAGTCTTGAGGTAGCATCATGTCTGAATTTGAACACATATCCTCTCGGTATGTATCAGTAGGAGATAAGAGGCTGGAACCCGGTGGTGATGCCGTCATCTGTTGTTTTCTAAGATCGAGGTAATCTTGATTATCAGGGATATCACCCGGTAGGTTGGTCACACATCTCTCCATATCGAATCGCATCTCAGTCTGAAGAGATAATTAGAAAATCAAAGTTATTATAGAAACACTACGCCTATATAATCTCGAATTGAACGTTTAAACACAAGCGAATTCATAAGATTATCTCAAAGTCCTTGCGTTCTATATACACAACGTTTTAAATACTGGAGATTCTCAAGTTGACTTTTGATTCTGTCAAACTTAAAACTGACCACTCACGGTAAATGTTTAAAGTTTAAATGACCACACACATGTAAAGAAAAGTAAAGTTAGCAAAGCACATTGGTTTTTGAGAAGAAATTCTGAACCGTCTGTCAATATGACAAGTATAAGATCACGTGATGTAAACGATGTAGTAGACAGCTCAGCGATTAGCTTATCAGATTGTAGAAGCGTGTAATAGGGACCGCCCACTTTCTAGTAATCTGTCTATTATACAGATGTAAAACTACTGACAACAGCCACCTCTCTCGCTTTATATTACAAACCATTCATCATTAACTAACTCATGAATAAAACGACAAACGTTCACACTTGTATCAAACTTGTGCACAGTTGCAAATTAATTTTCTTTCTCTTTTCTTAATATTTCTCTCTTGAAGCAATGTTCTTTCTATTTCTGAGTGAAAAGAGGATTCTTAATAGATGATTAGGCTGGCCACAGACAGCTAAATTTCAACTTGGCTTGTTTTAGTTTACTGTTTTTACTTGTTTGTAATTAAGATTCGTTCATGGTCCTATCAAGTTAGTTTCGCCTAGTTTAAAAAATAAACATCTACATCCTTTTTCTAAATACATTCGAATGAGAAATACGATAAGTCTGTACACCACATGCCGAGCAGAACTCAAAATAACAGAATGATACCTCGGATGCGACCAGAATTCAACGAGGATGACTACAAATTTGACCCAAGATTTTCAAGTGCACGACCACATATTTCTGTCATTTGGTGGGTATTCTTCTTTGATGTGAGCGATCCTCTGTAATTAGTGTGTAGTTTATAATTTTCAATATTTAGATTTGTCAGTGTATCTGTATATTTATTATTAACAATTAGACAATTCACACTGTTTCTGTGAACCAATAATCACATTTTGAACAGTAGCACATTTCTTTTATAAACAGTGTTTTCTTTATACTTTGATCACGTACAAAATGTTGCCGTATTTAAACTAAAATCATATTTCCTGAATATAAATTGAAACGAAAAATTTTCCAAGAGTTTTAATGATTTCGACCCATTTTCAAACAATAATGTTTAAATAATTTTGACCCATTTTGAAGAGAATTTCGTTCAAATCTGACTAATTAAGTTAAATATATTTATTTTCAAGATGCAAATTTGATTTTAAACGCAAATCATTTAATTCGTTTTCTTATATCCCGCAGAGTTATTTTGTACGTTAAAATAACATTATCAGAATTTAATTCATCAGAAAATGAAATTATTTATTTTGCTAGTAAATGTTGTTTATTTTGTAATTGCAATAAAATTTGGTATAAAGAAAACATGTAAATTATATGTAGTTTAGCAGAAGGATTCTACATTATGTATTTAATAAAATAATATAAGTAATTTAGTATAGATTTATATGGTAAAAACATCAGATTTTAATGAAATCTCCGGCATTGACGTGAAATACTCAGCATTCCATACGATATGATATAAAAGTCGATGAGAAACCCGGTCTCTCTCTCACTATCTACCATGTTTTCAATTATGTATTTCACATGACAATGTAAAAATTGGATAATTTTTAAATTATCAACTTTTATGCAATTTGGGTAATTTGTAAAGTTTGGAAAAAATGGCGTCACATTTGTGAATTTTCTTTTAGTTCTCTTATGCCGAAATAAGATCCGAAAAGTTCATATGGTATACAACAATATAATTCCATATCTGTTGCATTGATTCTGTGCATGAAATGTGTCCACTTAATAATTCAATAAGTAACAATTTCAATCAAGTTCTTAAAAATTCATAATGGTTTTATGTTCTTGTTCAAAACAGTTTGTTTGTTAATTCAAATTTTTTCCATATTTTGAGATATTTAAAAAAAAAATTTAAATTTCGGTTGCTTCATTATTTCATATACGACCTCGTCTGTAGGGCGAAGCTAAATCTTTTCTATGGTTTGGATGAATTACTAACAAAGTAATAATTTGTAAATTTTTAATGATAATATTTTAATTAAAATGATATAACAGTAATGTAGCTATATTCTCAAGAGTTGGAACAATACAGACTAAAGTGTTATAATACCCATAAACTTCTATTATATTTAATATGAAACCATATAGGTAATAATTCCCTACTTGAAACTATCATAAATAATGGGGTAGGTATAGATTAGTATAGTGACTGTTATATCATTACTAACAGATAATCTACTAAGGCTAACATTTGGTCAGCGATATCAACTTTTAGTCACCATATAATAACGATATCAAAATCGGTCTTTGTACATATTCTCAATTTCTAATCATGCTAGTGCTGATAAGGACGTACAATGCCATGCAGTGTGCAATGAGGTAAGTTTGCAAGGGCAGCAGCATTAACGTTATCTGTCACGATTTCGAACTGTTGAAAAAGAGAAGCCTTTATTGCCACTGTTTACAGAATGGGGAAATTTGAATTCCCATATGAATCAAAATAATGTAATTTTTACTTCTGGAAAGCGTACATGTCGATACAGGTATTAAATTTACTTTCAATATCATCATGCACAAATTATGTACAATGAAATTTCAAAAATTAAAAATTCTGTTGCACTTGGTGCGAGGGAAGACTTGTTTTTCAATTTTCAGGGCTTAAATGTTCATTCCCTGACCTATCACAGGCCTCATCGTCCCCCTACATTAACTATCAGACGAAGATGAAGATGAGCTCATAAACAAATTTGTTGATAAGACTTTAGTATCTGTTAACAAATACATAATATACAACTTAATAACGCCTCAAATCCTTATTGTAATCGACACGTTATAATCAATCAATTTCTCACACCAGGACAGATTTATAACTCAAACTACGACTTGTAACAAACTCGGATCGAATATTGATGGAGCACGGCTTCTCTTGTTCTGAACAAATAAGCTGTAAAGTATTTAGCTAGAAGAAAGGGAAGTATTTACAACTACATTAGAAACATACAGAGTCAACGAGGCACCCTGCCGACTACTATTTATTCTTCTTATATAATTTACAGTTTCAATAAAACTTATTCTACAATTCTTTACTAGTATCCAACAGAGAACTGGCTTTTCATGTCGACCAAGTTAAAAGAATGGTCAATACTACTGGTCATCAGTGGTCATCAATGTTTATTATTTTATGGTCATTTGTCCAACTACCTATAGTAACCATGTGTTAACAAATTTACAATTTTACATCAACACTTTATTCAATCGGCATGTTTTTACCTCTACACAACACAGCTTGTCGGTGTCTTGAGGCAGAATTTGAGCGGATATCAAAGTCAACATGTAAGATGTCTGTAAGTAAAAAACATTGTGTACTAAACAGCTTACACCTTTAAATGTAAATAAACAAAATACAACAATAAACAATTAAATAAAGTGTTCGTTTTCATTTATATTTTTGTAAAATTTGTATAAACCGGATGATACAACTGTGAATGTTGAAATATCGTGTTGCCATGCTAACAAAATAGCCTCCAGAAATCAAGGAAATTAAATAAAAATATTGAATTAAAGACGATAATTCATTTATTGTCTTCAGATTATTTTTTCTCTTAATTAACTTAATAATTAAACTTTCGTGTCTTTTTATTTTTTAGATTCCACCATTTTAATTTGTCAATGAACATCGTTAATTCTCTGATAGACTTAAATTCCTAAATTTTAAGTAACCAACTTAAAAGTTTATATCAATCTTAATTTAAATTTGTTGTTGATGTCGTAGAGGATTATAATAATTCCAATCATTAACAATTGTAGAAAATAAACGTGATCGTCATGATATCGTGTTATTATTACACCTGTGAATTAAATAAATATAAATTCAAATTTACGACAAGTTATCAGTGTCTTCCTATTGAATAATCAATCGGCCATTTTGGTGTTGCCAGTAAATCAAATGAGCCAATGATTAGGTTTGTTCAAGGTGTGTCATATAAATTTACCATTATATGTTTTGATTTTAAATCTAAATCGTTATGGTAATGGTAAAGATTTAACAAATTTTATTTTTAAATCGATTCCCTTTTTAAAAGAAATAAATATTTTTTGGTACTTAGACACTTGGTTACAATTAGTGAGTAGGCCCTCTAAGTTTCATAAGACAACTGGAACCTTCAATCGAATCTCTCTGCTCAAGCATTAAATGATTTAACAGTTGAAAATCTGAAATGGGTTAACAGGCAAATGCTACAATGGCAAGATAAGCTCATTGCACACTTCAGGTAAACTACGTTCAATAGCCCAATATGATGTTGGATATGTGACGTTTTTATTTTAGTTCCGTTTCGTAGTACAGAGGAGCAATAAACGGTATCGATGAAATTTGGTTAGTTACATGGTGTGCCTATATACAAAAAAATAAGCGTAAACAATTATAACAACCGCAAAACAAACCTTACTTTCGTTCATAATTTGCAAGAAGCTATCCACCCAAAAGGTACATTATTATAGTTTAATC